GACGGAAATGTTACGCCCCTCACCATACTGTGATGATGCCCTGTCGATTTGAGACTTTAGTCTTTGCAACTTTACAGATCTTCTTTATGCACCAAGAGCTTGTAACACTCCAAAGAGAAAGGAACAATTTAAATCGCATCATATGACCCCTTTAAAGAACACAAGCTACTCAAAACATTCAGCCTGTTGCCAAACATATGCCTAATTTATAAGCCACTTTTATATTTGTTTAAATGATTTCCTAGGAGACAGTCTTTGCATATGAGTCTGATGCCACACTCTCCACCTGTCTCGGATCGCATTTAATATAACAGACCACCAACATCCATCCTAACTGACCGGCTGCTACTGTGACACTCTATCTGAGGGCCAAAACAAACATGAGACGACAGCAGAACTAAGACAGCAATGCAAAAAATAGTTAATTTTGAGTTTACCACTTAAGGAAAGGCAAACATATGACTATTTACTCAATCATTTATCTCAAAAATAGCACATTCCTAACAGCACGGCTACTGTAAGCAGTGAATAATCAAAGGAAGCAGGCACTCTTTATGAAGTGGGGTTTCTAGCTCACTCAAGATCTGGAAATGAATCATTGTGTGGCTCATTCGTCCGCTGCTTCTCACAGACAGACTACATCTGTTCTGGCAGACGAGAAAACCCTCTGGGCCTTCTATAGCCAGACTATTAAATTATTATTACAACAGAGCCACTCACACAAACTAAGATAGCAGCACAGCCAAGAGGAACAGTCTGAGAAACACAATAGCATCTCAGGGTTCCTGTAGTTATGGGGTTTCTAGAGGACCGGAAATGCCTTAAAGTTACAGTAACTCACTTGTATTGAGCAATGAATGAGACCCCACACTGTCTGGTGTGGGTCAGAAACAAGGAATTTGGCACAAATGTTTTGTTCATCACTTTCCCAGCAGCAGACACATAAATCAAGCATCTTTTAGCAACAAGTACAGGAAATTTATCTTCTAAATCAACATGCATTGGTCAATTTGCTATTGCAGATGACAAAAATAAATGGTTGAATCAGACAACGAACTGAATGACACAGAGAAAAGAGAATATAATCAGGGAAAATTCCTTATGTATGAACCAAACCTGCACAAAATGGGTGGAAGTGTATTGCGTGGAGCAATAACAATAATTATTAGTCCCCAAAGAGAAAAAGAGAAACTGTAAAGAGATTCTACTGAAGTTCTAGGGCAGATCCCACAAACTGCTATTGAATGGGATGGGTTTGCACAGATCCCCATTTGGAGGAGAGAAAAAGCTAATGGTTTCTGTCAGATAAAATGTCACCCCTGCTTTCTCAGGTTTCATATCCAAACTGGACACTCTGTAATAGGATACTAGAACATACAGGGGTTACTGATAGAGACTTACTGTTAAGACACTGAAAAAAAACAAGCCCCAGGGACAGCCGCACAAAACAGAAAGGAATCACACACACTCTTGTTTACTATGAACACACAGGGGGCAAAGTTTTTGTTTTTAGAATGAGAAGGGCTATTTTGTTTAAAATATTTGATAACCCAGCCAACAAAAATATGTTCTAAGAATGTGTTCGTAACATTCCCATTAGGATATAAAATTGTTATTTCAATGTTTTCTGAATATTCAAAATGTCCACAAAAAAAAAAATAGTTTGTTCTTGGTTATGCGAACGTTAGAGAAAACATTAAGGGAATGTTCCATTTTATCATTTTGCACATGTTATATTAATGCTACTTTTGAAAGTTCTCACAATGTTCTCAAATGAGTAGGAAGCAACTTTTACAATATGGCAGATGAATGTCCAAATAAACTGGTTTAGAAAAAGATTCCATGAACAAAAAAATAACATTGTGCTAACAGTTTTGAGAACATTATTAAAGACCAGATAACTTAGAACAAATGTTTAATTAATTTTACTGGATTTTACCTTAAGTTCACCAAAGTTCTGAGAACATTCCCTGTTGGGAATATGCAGATAAATAACAATTCTAATAACAAAAAATAATTTTAATGATAATAATATAACATTTATTAAAATCTCTTTTGTGATTGAGATTTTGGCTGTTTTGCTTGTTTTATCATAATATTATTATTATTATAGATCAATAATAGATTAAATAGGTTACTTTGACATTTTGGTAAATAATAGACCAACCATTATTCAATATTTTGGTCGGTCAAACCAATTATTGCTCTATATCTATCTAATTGTAAGCATAGTTTTGGCCAAAGTACATACTTACCATAACAATATTACAGTTATTGTTCTTAATGTAAAACCAACCAATAATGTAACAAGCTTTTGTTTTGTTTCAGACAGTGGATGACAATAGATGACAGTGGTAACTAATATCAAGTTACCAGAGCTTTATCGTAACAATAATTGCAGTAACCATAATGTTTCTTGATTTACAAGAAAATTGTTGATAAAGATATTAACTTCCCCACTTTTTGCAGACAAACACTTGAAATATAAGCTGGAGCTGCACTCACTTTCTCCTGTACTCGTCCCTCTCGCGCTTGACTTTGGCCAAAACATTGTACAAGGCCCTGAGTTCAGGTGTGATGGTGTCAATCTGAACCCCGACACCGTCCGGATGAGTCCAAGACACTCCAGGCCCCTGATGAGTCTCAAACCGTCCTCCGTATCGGGCGGTGTGTGAGAAACTCCAGATTCTACCGGGGAGTCTCGACTGACACAGTGCGTTTGAATAAGGCAGCTCGAGGTTCGTCTGCACCGCTTGCTCCCGGGAAAACAGCAGTCGGTACCGGGACTGCTCTTGGGCGTGCTGCAGCTGGATCTCCAATAACTTGTTTCTGCGCTCTAACTCGTGGACTTTGGAAAGGAAGCAGCGGAAGCGGAGATTTAGAGTTTTTAACACATGAATGTTGGAGCCCAAATCGTTTCTCAGCGCGCTGGTTGCCATGGCGCCGGACCCGCTCCCAGCCGCACACGCTTCATTCATACCGACGGGTGCCGCGGATTCATTGAACAACATCGGGTTGAGAAGCGGGTCCGGAAAACGACGAGGTAAATCCATCTTTATTCGTGAGCAGTGTTTCTAGGCATCAAACTGGAGATGCTGTAAAGCTGCATACGTCACCTCCATGCTCTCAGACGCAAGGTGCACTCCCTTTATCTAATGTCACACAAATAATAGGCCATAGTCGTGCTTCTAGCGGTCGGATAAAGCGCATTGACCGGTACACATTTCATGAACTCACAGCTGCCCTCCTACCATCCCCTGGTGAGTAAACGGGCCGGTTATTAGTCTCAACTTGCCGTAGAGACTCAGGTTTCAGCCCAGTCTGAGAACACCATCCGAAGGAAACAGGAGGAGAGGAAGACATGTCCGCTCCGCCCTTACCGGGACTGCTCTTGGGCGTGCTGCAGCTGGATCTCCAATAACTTGTTTCTGCGCTCTAACCCGTGGACTTTGGAAAGGAAGCAGCGGAAGCGGAGATTTAGAGTTTTTAACACATGAATGTTGGAGCCCAAATCGTTTCTCAGCGCGCTGGTTGCCATGGCGCCGGACCCGCTCCCAGCCGCACACGCTTCATTCATACCGACGGGTGCCGCGGATTCATTGAACAACATCGGGTTGAGAAGCGGGTCCGGAAAACGACGAGGTAAATCCATCTTTATTCGTGAGCAGTGTTTCTAGGCATCAAACTGGAGATGCTGTAAAGCTGCATACGTCACCTCCATGCTCTCAGACGCAAGGTGCACTCCCTTTATCTAATGTCACACAAATAATAGGCCATAGTCGTGCTTCTAGCGGTCGGATAAAGCGCATTGACCGGTACACATTTCATGAACTCTCAGCTGCCCTCCTACCATCCGCTGGTGATGAAACAGGCTGGTTATTGGTCTCAACCGTCTCAATTCGCCGTAGAGACTCAGGTTTCAGCCCAGTCTGAGAACACCATCCGAAGGAAACAGGAGGAGAGGAAGACATGTCCGCTCCGCCCTCCAGCAACAGTAGCATTGGCTACGGTCTGTAAGACACGCCCTTCTAATTAACATATTACATGAGGGGTTCAGGCATTAGCGCTGTGCCTTTAAAAGTATTTACATATTAAATATTTGGCTTTGTATACAGTGTTCAAGAAGTTATAAAAAAGAACTTTGTTTGTGATCTGTACAGTAGCTTCTTATTTGAACTTTGTAACTTAAAATCAATATTTTTTGTGTTGTAATTTAAGCAAATGTTTCTATAAAAGGGTACAGAAAACGTCGAAATATGTTTAAATATGCTATATGCTACGATCACGATTTGACACTTTTCATTTCAGAACATTTATAATTGTAAATCATTATGATTAATACTCAGATCCATTAAAAGGTGCGATTGTGCTGTTCTTCTCCCACCAAAATGAGGTCACGTCCCAGAGGAAGTCTTTTGTCAAGGGTTTTTACTAAAAGACTTAACAGGATGGAAAGTGATATCGTCATAGTGACTTGACAAACAGTTTAACTTAATTAAAACAATAGAAAACAAGTTAAGTCTTGATTATAGAAAGGAAACCTTGAAGAAAAACCAATTTATAAATTGTCAGTTAGGTAGAACACAGATATAATGACTGGTCTACTCAAGCTAAAGTAGCGAAATTGATTAAAACTCCCTCATACTTTCAATTAATTGTGATAATGTGGAAAGAAAAATAGGATTTCTGTCATATTTTATACTGTATATTACAGTGTCTGTGATGGGAACAAGAAAACATACTGGATAGAAGGATTTAGAGAACCTTTAAAGAAACTTCCAGAAGTGAAGAACCCTCCCTTTGCAGTTTTATTATATCTGATGCAGTGTTTGTCTTGCTGAAAAATAAAGCTAAATAGACATGTATATTAAAAAAACTACATATTAAATAGTATGAAGTAAGGCATACTACATACTAAACAAACTGAAAATATAAAAATAAAAGTATTAAATGCAATAGTATGCAAGTACTAAACAACACTGCTTAGATGACACATTCAGTCAGATATGGTATTCTTACACCTTTATTAATTTGAGCTAATTCAAAAGCAGACATTCAGCAACAGTTGAACATTGTAGCAGCGGGAATAGGCGAATAAACACTAACTGGGTTTTTCTTGTTTTCTTTTTTAAAACAAACTTCACACCATGCATTCAGCTCAAGAACACCCTATCGCAGGTGTGTGTTTATATTGTAAGAATAAGCTTAAAATCACTGAGACTCTTCTCAGTGGCACCTTGCTTACCAGAGGCACAACTTGCTCTGGGGAAAATCTTTAATCTGCGGAATATTACGGTGTGAATTACGGACACATGGAAGACATAACGAAAAAGAAATGTAGTTATCGTGATTTTGATCAAAACACATAAACCCAACCAGAAAAACAGTGGAAAAAGGCTCCCAAAATAAATATGCAGGCCCTTTTTATTCTTTATCTTCGTTTCATTGTTGATGCAGGTAAAACCCTTTACAAATCAGAAAGTATTTTCATTTTTTGGGAATAACATTAAACAAACTTTCATCTCAATCTTTAACCATTTACACATGGAAAACAATCGTCACACATTTGCATCGCATCACAGAACCACTGTCAGGCCTTGCCTTTCTCACAAACTGCAAACAATTCATTGAACACCACTGCAAAAAAAAAAAAAATATCCAGAAACATAGACCAAGACGATGAGAGATTAGTTAGTGAATCTGTAACTCTTAGCCAATTTAGAGTAAAAAAAAAAACACCATAAACAAAAATCAAAAAAGGGAAAAATAAAAGCCATCAGGGTTGTTTATGAATTAATTCCAAATCAAATTACCTGCAACATGTTGGATCAAAACAGCATGGTGTGTTTGTGTGTATTAGGTGTTATAAAACCATTGTAGAGTAAATGCGCATTAACTCGTCAGGCTACACGTCACTTTCTTGTTTAGGAGAGAGTTATAACTGAATGAACCCACGTGGAGATCAGGAGCAGAAGTGGAGGTGAATGAGTGTGTATGCGAGCTGATAGAAATTTTGGGAGCCTGGGCCCCGATTGAAAGGTGTCCTTATGGAGTTGCGAATAGCGGTGTCCGGGTAACAGACAGACTCCGTGTTTAAGGAACACCTGCACTGGACAGAGAGCTCACGAGTCCATAAGTGAGGTGCATAAAGTGTGCCATCAGGGCACAGAGTTCAACAGGTCCTGCAGGAAGGCGTCAGGGTCTGGGATGTCTGACAGAAGACCTGGGAAAAGAGTCAGTAAAAGAGATTAATATTCGATAGCTCAACATTTTTGTATTTTTTATTTTTTTAATTACTTTCCACTGAGCTTTGTGTTCAGTTCATGGCAGGAAAGTGTATTAAAAATGTCTGACCTACGACATCCAGGAACTCGGAGAAGGATTCAGCAGGCATTAGCTCATCCTGGAAAGCCCTCAAAATTCTTTCTGAAGCATCATAGATGGGCATGTCATTGTGCCTTATGTACTCTGCGAGCGAGAAGGACCAGCCTCCCTCTGTGTTGCTGGTGGGCACTTTCTGTTGTGGGAATGGGCAGATAAAATTAAGATTTCATGGAAATATGAACTTATTAGAAATTACACAAGTGCAAAAAAAGAACACATTCTCGTACCCTGAACATATCATAGACAAGATCCACCAGACCCCAGAAGAGAAGCGGTGAGCGGTAAACAGCATACTCCTTCACGGCTTTGTCTGTGAGCCTGAAACGATTAAAATCAAATATGCAATTAAATCACTTATCAGACAGATATTATTCAAAACAAATAAAACTGACACATAAATATATGTATAACCATACATATATAGCTTGATATATATAGTTTTAATGTAGAAAATATACATTTAATACAACAAAAAACAAAAAAATCTGCAACAATTATTATTATTAAAAAATAATTAAAAAGAAATGCATGTATCAATATTGCAATTAAATCACTCAGTGTAATTATTTTATTAATATAATTACATATATGCATGCATCTTGTGTGTGTGTGTGTATATATATATATATATATATATACACATACACAAAATGCATGCATATATGTAATTATATTAAAAATATTGCATAAAATAATATAATTATATATTACATTATATAATGTATAATATATAATAAAAAATAAAAAAAAACATTCTGAAACAGTAGTCACCCTGAAAGCGAAAAATTTTACAAACAGTAATACTGAGGCCTGAAACAATCTGACACCCAGCACAAGCCATGTCTGATATAATCTTGCATCAATCTTCTAAGGCATAATACAGTCTTAAAGCAAACATCGGCAGTTTGAGTAAGCACAAAACACTTGCCAAAACCAAAAGTAGACACCCTCAGCACGTAAAGTACAGCACAGGCTTGTACAAGCTCTTTAAAGTTCATGCTCTGACACATGCACAGTCATGCTTTGTTCCCTTACTTGTTAGCACCCCCTGGTGAAACCTTGCGGGCATGTGAAGTGACCAGCAGCCTACGAAGGAAGTCGAGACGCGTAGTCCTCCAGCGCTCAGGTGGCAGGATGTGCATGGCCAATATGGTGAAGTAGTGCGGCCCGTCCACCTCGTACGAAGTCTCCACCCACTTTTCACAAGGCTGCTCTAAGAAGCTCTGAAGATTCTTCTCCTCCCGTGACGTGGCCCTTGTTCTGAAGAGAAATTCAGAAAAATGTTTTGAATCTCAAAACGCACTGGAACTCAATTCTCATCTTTGATAAACGTACGTGTTGAGGACGTAGAGAATGGTGTGAATGATGTAAGGGATGAGGTGGATGTTGCTCTCGCGGCCTCCACCCCCTGTGTCCACGCTGAAGGACTGCTCCATAGCAAAGCGCAGGAACAGCAGCTTGGTATCGTGAATGTTGAGCTGGTACGTGGGTTCCCTTTGCCCTGTGCACTCTTGCAGATATGTGTTGTGCCTGTAACGGTACAAAACCAGCTTAAAATCCTGTAAATATTCAGGAGTACAGCTTAGCTTTAAATAAGCTGCAGGCATGACGTACCTTGCCAGGCAGGTGGCGAAGGCAGATTCGGGTACGTGAGGCCCCCATACTGGTAGGAGACCATTGCACTTTGTGTTGGCATTTTGTAGTGCAGCACTGTCCCATTCCTCACGCCCTCTGGCAAGCCTGATCCAGACCGACAAGAGAGAACATTATGAAACATGTGAGATGATAAAACCTTCCTTGAAGCGATAGTTCACCCCCCAAAAAAAATTCTGTCATCATTTAATCATCATCAGTTGACGGTAGCCATTGACTTCCACAGTATTTTTTTTTCATACTATGGAAGTCAATAGCTACCGTCAGCTGTTTGGTTACCAACATTATTCAAAATATCTTTTTTGTGTTCAACAGACGAAAGAAACTCATACAGGTTTGGAACAACTTGAGGGTGATTGATTTTGGGTGAAATATTCCTTTAATCAAATCTATTGCAGTTTCACGCACCTGACAGCAGCAAGATGACAGTCATAGTGGACTATGTTAAAGTGTGAGACAGTGCTGTAGCCCTGCTGCTTGCGGGGTTTGTTCTCGAACTCCTCTAGGGGCACACGCTTTGTAAATGTGTAGATGCCCAGAACTTTGGTTGGCTGTGGGGTACAAAGTATGATCAAGGATAAGACAATGAAGAGGTTGAGCATTTACATCTACAGCTAAATAAAACATCATTGGTAGATAAATGGACCTGGAACTTGTAGCCCTCTCTACAAATACAGCAAGTCAACCCAGGTTCTTCTATGAGCTCCTCCATCTGTTTAAGCAGGGACGTCTTGGTCACCACCTGGCCCTTCTCATTGGTCTAAAACAAAGTGAAAAACAGAAAAATTTGAATTCAAAGTCGATTATACATCAAGCTTCTATCTATATTTGCAACTCACTGTCATTCCCAGTGTGCCAAGAGCTTTCTGCCTCATCGCCATGGCCATGCGTTTCTTCTCCGCTCGAGTCTCCCTTCGGGCAGCGTCGATCTTCAGGTTAACCTCTGCGAGTTCCCTTAGTGCCTCCAGAAGATTCTCTGCTAAAGTGCCGATACCCTCGTCACTGGACACCTGCTCCAGCTTGTGTAAATTGGTTATTGAATCTGTTCCGATTAGCATCTATAAGAAGAGGAGAAAATATGAGTTATGTTAGTTGTCTGTGTACAGGGATACTGCATGAAATAAAAAGATCAAAACTTCTCAAACTAGTGATAAAAGTGTTACCTGTGTAGGGGGGTGCTGGGTGGCCAGACCACGCAGCAGTCTCAGGATAAACGGAAGGGCTGGTCGAGCAAGGAACTTCTTCCAAACGTCTGCATCCAGGCTGCAAAATATTATTTACAGTTTAGGTAATCACTTTATAATAGTAATGTTTTTGGATACGGTAGATGCATTGCATTTCTTGTTGTTTTATATTTTTCATTAGTTCAAAAATAATGATTTATTTTATATTGTATAAATGAAAAAATATGAATTAATAACTTATCAAACTTATAAATATAAAACAAAATCTAATACATAAGAAAAGAGAGATAATAAATGTATCTATAAAATGTATTTCTGGATATCCGGACTCTATCTGCACTACACACACACAGACACACATACATAATTTATTATACTGTAATTATTATTTATAGTAAATCTATGTATTAATATATACAGGTGCATCTCAATAAATTAGAATGTTGTGGAAAAGTTCATTTATTTTTATTTTTTATGATTAAAAATTTAATTTATATTTTTATTTAATTATTTAGTTTTTATTGATGTGCAGATATATACAAATTAATAAATATAAATACAAATGACATTTTAATAATAAAAAATAAAACATATATTAATAAATTTATTTACTATAAATAATAATTACAGTATTATAAATGATACATGTTTTTATATATAATGTATTTGAATATATATAAATAAACATGTATCTAAATATAATTTATAATATCTACAATATGTATTTTGGGATATGTATAAAAGATACTTTATTGTATTAAAGCATATACCAGTATTTACTATAAATAAAAATGAACACTATATTATATCAAATTATATTAAAGTATTATATATATTTATACAAAAATATAGAAATAAACACTTATTATATTATGACATGTCATACTTCTTAGCACAGGGGATATGTTTCTTCATATAATCCAGAGCACTCTGGGTGATGCCCTTCTGCAAGATGAGGTCTTTCAGTTGATGTCCATTACTATTATTCTTGATTCCAGCAGCTATTTTACAGAAACAGTCCAGAAAGACCTTGTCATCTGCACTGTGCTCCTCATCATACCTGTATATGAAAACAAATGGTGTTTAATGCAGCAAAATTTTACTATTGTTACAAAGAACAGTCAGAGTTCTAGGTTACAGAGATGAACAAACTCCATACTTGTCAAAGTTGCAGCAGGGTTTAAAGCGCTCGACCAGGATGTGCATCTTCTCTAGTTCACCGAAGGACAGGTAAGGGATGATGCGGAGCAGCCCCTGTAGGACACTGGGATTGGAACGCACAAACAATGTGTTGATCTGGTCCAGCAGCATCACCAGCTGGTCCTTATCACCCGTCAGCAGCAGGTTACCCTGGAGGAGAAACACAACGGAGAGATATGAATACAGCTGTCTCCCTTCTATTTTGTTGTAATATTCATTGCATAAATCAAAATGTCTTGCTGACCTTGTCTTCAGAGACAGTTTCCGCATTGGCCTCATCCAGGATGATCTCCATAATACTAAGAACCTGCTCTGCTATGGATGCTCCTCCACTGTCCTTGCTCTCCTGCTCTGCCACCAAGGCCTGAAATACAACATCCAATTACAAATATTCTCTTAAATATTACATTTGATCTCATCAGATGATTCCTCTGGTATGTTACTTACCAGATTCAATGTGCCCAACATAACATTCAGAGTGTTCATCTCTGGTTTCACCAGCTGCTGTCTGTTGATTTTCACTTTCACACAATAACTAAATAACTTGAGGAGAACCTATAAAGCAAAACACAATCATTAGAATTTTCTTCAGTTTCTGAGGAAATCTGTAGAGTATGATGAATTAGAGGTGAACTTCATACTCACTGTGAGAAGGTGCCTGCCCTGTTTGAAATCTTTGATTCCAGAGAGCCTGTTCAACATGCACTCCAGACCTCCACACTGCGCCATCACTCCAGCCATCTTATATACCTCCTCATCATCCTCCTCTTCATCTGAACAGAGAGAAAACACCAATTACAAGTGAGAAACATGAGATAAACTATGGGGAAAAAACTGAAACTAATGTTAAAGAAAGGGTCCTGCAACATAAAACCAACCTGTAGTTGAGTCCAAAGACTCAATGAACTCCTCTGTTGCATCTCCCAGAAGCCCCCTCATTCTGTAGATGATCCTCATTGGCTCACCCTTTATTGCAAGAAACAGAGTGTTTAAACCATGGTTGATATGTAAAAATAAAGTACCTTTTTATCTTCTTTAGCTTACCTCGTTGGTGGGGCACCAAACCTTCTTATAGACCTCAGCAACAGACAGATCCAAACTGATGATCTTGTTATTCACAAGGAGCTGCAAAGAAAAGTCATCTTTAAAAACATATTTCAATAGAGGATCAGATAAGAGTGCCCAAAACAAAGAAAAAAAAATCTTATTTTTTATTTATTTTAAAATTATGTAAAAACCTTGTTTTCATTCTGCATGTTTCACACTGAAAACAAAAAAGCGAGGCGAATCGCCGATGAACGGTGATTCATCGCACACTGAGCGCGAAACGATTGATCACCTTCTGCTAATTCATACCTGCACGCTAGATGGCGCCGACCAACAATGCATTTTTCCTCAGATATGAATCTCGTATATGGTTTTAACATCGTCCGCTGCTCAATATATTAGCATTAACTTAATATAAAGTTTGGTTCTACACCAGAAACAAAAACTATCAATAATGCTTACAAGAAAACATCTTAAAATATAAACAGAAGTACAATTAGCATCAAGCCATATTTGAAAATTTTTGAAGTTATTAATGTACTTGCTTAAAATCCACTTTAAACCATCATCGAGTGCTTGTAACTTCCGACTGTGATCTATAGTTGATTTTTATTCTATAATAGGCAGACATGCACTCTTTGTATGTTTAATAACGCCACACTGCTTATTGTCATAAACATCCTTTATTGTTATAAAAATACCATGAGCTGCATACAAAACACATACAGAAAATATATCGTCATAATCATATGTCTATTTGCTTTCATATTTCATGTGTAGAAAAATGTTTCACTCGATTTTTTTAATACGGAAGATCTACCCAGCTAACAAAAATACGTAACTGTTACTGAGTGAATGCGCTCTGACACTCAAAACACCAGCACACGTGGAAGAAAACGAACAGTGCTCTCCAGATCACATAATTTAGTGGAGAATTAATAGAAATAATATTAAGAACATGAGAATAAATGTTCTCAGATACCAATGATAACTCGGCATTAGACTTGTGCTGGTATTCGGTAATGCGATATATCACGGTAATGAATATGCACAATATTGTTATCGTGGGCCCTTCTAAATACCGTGAATAATTATATATTACAGATTATTCAGAATTTTGAATGCATTTTAAGAATACTTTTCCCATAAACTGGTCAAAATGCACAACACCGCTGTATGCTGCGTGAAAGACGTGTGTGAAAATTTGATACCGGCATATCCCTACTTGGCATCCACTCTCGGAATACTCTTCTTCAGTGTTTGTTTACACTGGTTTTTGAAACAGCACCACCACTCTCACCCTTTTGTGCAACAGCAGCTGCTCCAGGCATGTGATCTAAGCTCAAATCTGATTGGATGGCCTGTTTCGTCACGGAGCGACCGGGGGAAAAAAATCGACACAGCACGGAAAAAAAAATCCTCGCTTTTTTCATGCCACGAATGATCGTGCCTGGTGTGAATAGCCTCATAGGGATCTATTGTTTCGATTCAAAAGCATCATCGCACCGAACATTTGTGCCGAATTTTCACGTTCAGTGTGAAAAGGCCTTTAGGCACAACTCATAACTTTGGCAGTCAAACATTTTTTCAAATATTTGTAAAATGTAATATATAAATATTTATAAAATATATAATATACATTTTAAATAGTTAATAAAAATTTTTTTTTTTTTTTACATTTATTTTTTATTAGTTTTTTCTTGCTTTAAGGTTTAAAAATAATTTAGAAATAGGGCTGGGCAATAAATCGCTAACGATAATTATCGCGCGGTATAAATTTCCTCGATAAACGATAACAAGAGGTCGAGAAATTATCGATATAATGTTTATGAGGCAAAGGCGGAACGAAAGAGCGCAACTCATTTGAAGCGCGTCACTCGGACCGTTTATCCGCTCAGATCAAAGTTCAAACAGCAGCGCGAGCTTCACTAGAGCAGATGGTGCTGTGAGATCCAGTGTGACAGCCAGATGATACAGTGCTGACAAACAGGAGAAACACTGTGCGCAACGATACAGTTAGAAGACTTTTTAATCTACAAATTGCCATCATTTACCATAGATTTACTGTAGCACTAACTGCACCATGGTATTGTGTCAGAAATGTGGGTATTTGTGTCAAATATATATTATTAATGTAGACATGTTTTAAATGTATTGGAGTGATGGAATATAATTACAGTATTTTTTTTTGTGATCAAGCTAGCTAGCGTTTATGCATTTATACAAAATTTATTTAGACTAGCTACTGTTTTTCATACAAATACCTAAAAACCATATTACATTTTTACCATGGTATTGAGGTGCTATATTTGAGGTTTTAACTGTGATTATCATGCTTTAAATGTATGCTACTATGGAAGACCAGTGGTTAATAAAAAATAAAAAAAACTCAAACAGTCTGAATAATTAAATTTCACCATATAAAATGAGGTTGCTACAATACTTACAGATATTACTGATTGGCAAAAATCTGCCTTTAAACTTGAAACAAATACAAATTTGACATTTATCATGATAATTATCGATAGCGACTGATATGAAAAAACATTATCGTGATAATTTTTTGGCCATATCGCCCAGCCCTATTTAGAAATACAAATAATGCCAAGTGATTTATTTGAAAAAGTCCTAGGACATAGTACTGAGGAAGATTACGTACCTCCATGCCGCTGTCGTCCTCCAGTAGTGCCACAAGATCGCAATCCTGGCAGATTTTGTTCTTGATGTCTCTCATGAGAGGGCCAATGCCTGGTTCATTACTGCTGTATGGGTTTCCTGGCATACGGCCTTGCAGGAAGTCCTCCTGCTGTGGGTCTTTCTCCAGTGTAACAAAGAACTCTGTCACCTCATTCTCCTCCTTCATACACACAGATGGGAGAAATTAGTTAGACCAAAATCATTATTCCAAAAGTTATGTCAATTCCAAATGTCAATGAGCTGAAGTCTACTTACTGGATAAATGATGCTACATAACCTCTCGAAGATGAAGACAGGGGTGCGATAATCATCCAGGTTGTACCGCTTTGCAGTTTCGATGCACACAGCCATGAATGCTTTGGTCTCAGACTCCGTCCCTATAAAAGAAGATATAGCATTGAGCTGATTTGGTCTCTAATAACAAAAAACATCAGAGAAGATCTGAAGGTGAAGGCTGGAACCTGTAGTCATGTCCTCCAACATCTCCAGCAGCATGTCTTGGGTCTCATCGATCAGTTTAGTTCTCTGGACCACCAACTTCCTTAAGCACAGGTAGCCATTAAGGACAGTGCCAACCAACCGACTCTTAAAGTGACGCTTTATAGACTCCACCTCCACAAATGAGGACAGCAAACCTGTGAGAGACGAGAAACCGTTAAAACAAGCCACAAGCTCTCAGGAAGTTCTCGGAGTTTAACTTGAACGAGACACAAAAGCTTGAATTCACCTGTCAAGCTCTTGAGGGCATATCCCTGCTGTAAGTCAGTGCTCAGTGTGGCTTCTTCAAGGGCTAGTAGATGAGCAATTTCCTGAAGAACACCACATAAGTTTAGGTTAATGGAAATGACACATCCTCACTATATAACCCTATAGTATCTACAGTTTTTGACGATACCTTGGTGATGAGGTTGCCAATGTATGGTAGGACACCACGGGCAGCCAGGTAAACCTTCCAGTGAGCAGGTTTGATGAGTTTCTGGTACAAAGCCAGGTACTCTGCAGCACACTCTCCTGCAATGCTCAGCTCATCCAGATAACTGAAGAACAAACAACAAAAACTTGGAAATGACTCCTACATCTGGCTCGATTGAGCCTAATACGGAAAAATCTGGTCCAAAAAGGATTGTTTTATTCATTCATGTCAAATGTACCTTGTTAGAAGGTCCAGAACTTGCTGTTTGCGGCTGGGGATTGTTGTTAGAGCTTCGACGATGGTGCAAGCCGCCTGTCTTGCTGCCTGGGTGGCTGGGGTGAAGAGCACCTATGAGAAGAGTCAGATTACATTAGAGCACATTAAAGCAGAAAAGAATCAGACACTCTAGAGTGCTTTGAGAGAGCACATACCTGTCTCAGCCAGTTGTTATGACCCAGTTTGAGCAGGCGAGGGAACAGGCCTTCTGACCTGGACCTCATGAACTGCTTCCACTTCCACACGTACTTCTCCATCAGGTACTGCTTCCTAATCTCAGCCTTATTCAAAGGTTTAGAGACTGTTTCTTGACCTGCGATAGACGAGAGCAAAATTAAGTAAACCGTTTGTTGGAAATAACGGAGAACACTGCTGATGCAGAGATTGGATATTTACATCTAGCAGGAAGGCACTTTTTCCAGGCTTCATAAGAGGCCTTGGGGTCTTTTTTGAGCCAGAGCTGGGCCTGTGCGTGGATTTCGTTGTTGTATGGCTTGACTGTAGTCAGGGATTCGACGGCAGCATCCTGTTAGAGAGTACAAGTCAGGTAAGTGCATCAATACGTATTGATTAAAACCTCATCATTACTGCGAGTCTGTCGAACCTTGTTTTTCTTGCTGGTTGGGGAAGGAGGTTTGATGAGTTTCTGCAGGATCCTCAGGCACATCAGTGTAATGTTCTCCACTACCACAGGGGTCTTTATATTCACCGCCATCAAGAACAGATTCAGTGCTGAAAATAAACAGAGGCTTGAGTAGGAAGCACTAATATTAAAATTCTAGCCATTATAGATAAAATGTTAATTATTCATAACACAATATATTAATTATATAATCATCATAATTACATATGTAATTATTATGACTTTTATAATAATTATAAGGATATAATTTAGTAAAAGAAAACATGAATAAAAAAAGAGAAGCATGAGTAGGTAAGCACAGATATTCAAATTCTAGCCAAACCAAATAAGATAATTACTAGTGCTGGGCAACGATTAATCGCATCCAAAACAAAAGTTTTTGTTTACATACTATATGCGTGTGTACTGTGTATATTTATTACGTATATATAAAGACACACACAAAGTATATATTTAGAAAATATTAACATGTATATATTTATATTCATATAATTTATATTATATATAAATATATTTAATATATAAACATATTTTTCTTAAATATATACATGTATGTGTATTTATGTATACATAATAAATGTACACACACATATATTATGTACACAACTTTTATTTTGGATGCGATTAATCATTGCCCAGCACTAATAATTACTTATCATATAATTAATATGTGATATGTGATATTGATCACAGCATCTCCAATATTGGCCAATAACTGATATGATCTGACACAGAGATTATATTTCTGTGGAACAGCTACAGCAATTCAATTCAATTCATTTCAAGTTTATTTGTAAATAGCTTTTCACGATACGAATCGTTGCAAAGCAGCTTTACAGAAAATTACGTTTCTACAATATATTTAGTAGTAGTTTATCAGTGGTGACTGTCAAATTGATGCACATTTTGCTGAAATGTACGGTAAAATTCAGTTAATGACGTAATCAAACAGACGATGAACACTATTAACAGCAATAATTATATGTTGCAATCAAACTTGTAGCAAAATTTGGTAGTTTATGTTGTTTCAGGGTTGGCATCGACCGCTTAAGGAAAAATAAAAGGTTCAGACTTTTAGCTCTGGAAATCCACCACAGGACTCACCACAGCGAAGTCTGAGCTCCCAGCATCCTCCCTCCTTAGCAATGGAGTCTGTAAGAAGCAGCATTTCATACTGCAAACTACTGACCTAAATGAGAGGAGACGACAATTGTAAGAAACAATCAAATAAGTACTACAGATCTACTACAGGCATAAAAAACAGTAGCTACATGTGATCTTTACTATGTAATAAAGACCGTTACCAGATCAGGGTTGGCCCTGTGACCTTTAAGGGCAGCTGACACCTTGGCAATAATGAGGTCATTCATCTGCTGTGTGGCTTCTGGGTGATCTCTGCAAAATACATTGACGTGAAAGTAGTTAACATCTTGTAAAACAAACAGTATTAGCTAGTCTCTTCAGAGATTTGGATATTTGTGTGTATATACCTGGTAAGCAAACAGACGAGCTGGCGGACCTCCTCCCTCATGGCTCCAGTGCCACGGCGCAGGTTGTACTCAAACAGTTCTCGGATGAGACCCTGCAGTACCAGGATCTGCCTGATGGCAGTGTTGGTTGCCAGTGCACGCAGTAGAGTGATGCAGTGGCCCGTGACTGCAGACGCACAGCCGTAGCACTTGGTGGAGGACGTGTACCCGCATCCCAGGACAGACAGGGCTCGATATTGGCTGGCTGTGAAGGTGGGTTGTGTGGAGGTGCGGGATGATTTGGTAGCAGCTTCCCGCTGTTGCAGGTCATACTCCAGCAGCTCCTTACGCGATGCAAGCACTTTCTGAATGAGGAATAAAAAGAGTTTACAACAACTGTTTCATAATAAAATTATTTAATTAGTTAAATATAATTTTTTTTTAACAATCTATTACATTTATTAAACACATTTATTAATTAAATTATTTATAAATATATAAAATTATCACTAGCTGCGTAAATAAATTACATAATGTAAAAATGATCAACACTTAAGATAGATTGATAATAAAATAACACTAATATTATGAAAATAAAATAGCAATAATAATATATTTTAATTATTAAAGCATTAATATTTCATTATAATTATAATGTAAAATGATCATCAACACTAAACACATAAACAGCTAATTATATAATTAATAATAAACTTATTAAATATAAAAATAAACTTTTTTCATAATTGAAAAAAAATAGTGAAAATTCTCTGGTATTGTTCTCGACTACCATTCTGGCACAGTAACAGCTCTATTTATCCCTAACCTGGATGATTTTGGAGAGCTCATCGAATGAAGTCTTGCAGTCTCCACTGTATTCCTGTGCCAGCTGCTGAATGTACCGATTGACACTGGCAGTGGAGGTGCCGAGACCAGCGCCTGCTCCTGTATCATCCTGTGAAGAGCCATGAAAACATGAACAACACACCCAAAACGAATTTGGGTAATTCAAGAGGGAAAAGTCATTGATTTGTCCGAAGCAGAAGCTGACACACTGACCTGTGGTTTCTCAGGTGCAGCCTCATTTACTTTAGACAGCAGACTCTCCAGCTGCGGCCGGTGACCCATGAGCTGGTGGTAAACACGGTCAGCCTTGTCTAGTAGAGTGTTGATGTTGGTAACAGCCTGGACACGATAAATCATTAACATACGTTTTAGTAAGTGGACTTGTAATTTCAATGCAATTTCAGCATATGTGTTTAAATTTAGACTATTCCTCACTTGACCAGGTCTGTTTGTGTCTTTCGTTTGTAGCTGTACACATTCCTGTTTTACATTACACAATGCACATAAATGGACATTTATTAGATATTTATGCCTGCTCTACCTTTTTCCTATCTTCTTCGTTTTCTATAGGATCCACAGCACAGCAGGGTTTTGCATACAGCATGAAGTCAAAGCGTGCATATTTACAGAAACCACAGGCATTGCACAGGAATGGGTCCTTCTCGTCATAATTAATGGATCTGGAAAATTCAAAACAGACAATTTCAATCTCAATTTTACTGCAATTGTCAGTTTTTTTGGGTCTTTGTACGATACGCAAACCATGCGTACCTGCACTTATGGCACTGATACACATTCTCTCCACAGTTGCCACAGACACCTGGATTGGCAGGGACAGAGGCGCTGCAACGAGGACACTGCAGGGTCTCTGTAGACGCCTGGTAGTTTTCATAGAAATCAGAGAATTCGATCATCAGGTTGGAGGCCACAATGGGGAGAGGGAGGTCGATCTTCACTTCAGTTTGGCCAGGGGTCAACTGCACCTTCTTAGCTTTGTGCCAGCGAGCAGGTCTGTGAACACAAATGTCAAATTATCTCAATTTATCATCAAATGTCTACAAACATTGTTCCAAAAAATTTGAAGAGTCTGATTAGTATGCTCACTTGTTCTTCAGCTCTACAATAGCTTGTACAGTCCTGTTGTTATAGTAAAGGTTGATCGTGCGAACCATCTTGGTTCTCTTAAGATCGCCAATCTTCACAGTGACTTTGCTGATAGTGTGGCTGCCAATCAGCTTCACCACTTGCTGAGTGGTGGTGTAACGCGTGTCCACTTTGATAGATGAGAGTTTGATGTTCTAAGAACACAGGGAATAAAGTAGTCCAACATTTAGAACCATAGCAACTAAAACATCCATTAAATGTGACATGTCATAAACATCACTCACAGAGAAGGGCACTTCAGGATTGTTGCACACCAAGCAAGGATCACTCTCCAGGTAAAATCCATCAAATTCCACCAGTCCAGAGAGGGTGCTGAGAAGATAAGTGTGAAAAAATTAAAAATGAAGGGATGTTATCGCATCCATGACCCAAAATACCCCAGTCCAATGAGAGCATGCTGGGAACACTTACTTGTATATATTTGAGTTGGGATGATTGGTCAGGATGTGGTTCTGTGCCCTCAAAATTTCTACAGCCTTTTGAGAGTATTCCTTCAGCTGGAAAACACAGAATCAAAACATTAGCTGCAAGGCAAAACACTCACACTAACATTTTAAATCTTATAAATTACCAACCTATTACATTACCACTCAAAAGTTTGGGGTTAGTAAGAATTTTTTTTTTCTTTTCTTTTGAAATAAACGTATACTTTCATTCAGCAAGGACACATTACATTGATCAAATGAAAAATTTGCGATGTTACGAAACATTTCTATTTGAAATAAATGCAGTTCTTTTGAACTTTATAATCAAAGAAACCTGAAAAAATATTAAGAAGCACAACTGTTTAATTTAGTATTACATTATAAAATATATTCAAATAGAAAACAGTTATTGTAATATTTCACAATGTCACTCTTTTTACTGTATTTTTTAATAAATGCAGCCCTGGTGAGCATAAAAACATCTTTAAGAAATCCTATCCTAATCTGACCCCAAAATTTTGAACAGCAGTGTATGTTCATAAATTATAAATCAAATTCTATTAATACCGAATCACATATTCGAGTATCACTACCTTCTTTTCGGTCTGAGGTGTTTTAAGCGAGAAGTATCCAAGTAGGTCCACAAACTGAGCTGCTTTACGACCATAAGCTGGTAGTTCTGGCCAAATGGCCCACATCAGGTCAAGCAGCAAGTCCTGCTGGGATTTGTTTGAGTTCCTGCAAGGTAAATATTCATTTGATTTAACATGATGGAACTTCTGGACCACGTTCAAAGCACAGGACATGAGAGAGTGTGTTTAGGGAAGGTGCTTGCATGTAGTATCCAAGTACCTGTAGATATGCAGTGTGAGGCAGTGGGCTTGCCAGCGCACAGATGAAGAGTTGGACTCGAGCAGGAAGCAACGCAAGAATTGAATAAGCGTCTCCTTATCTGCAAATTTATTGAGCTGACTGACCAGAGCTGTACACAGCTGATCTTCCTGACTGCCAGCTCCATCTCCTGTAGAAAACACAACAGGAACATTGAGAAAAGTGCCATTTATTGTTATTATTAATCCTAATGATAGTTGGGTATTGCTCAAAGATCATCAAACCTTCTTTGTCTTTTTCCTTGTCCTCTTTCTTGCTCTTCTTGCTGGATGATTTGCTCTGAGAGGGCTGAGATGAACCTCCAGAACCTCCACCTGAAGCTCCAGAGGAGGAGGCCACCAGGACTTTACTGCCACATAAAGCACAAGAGAGCAGCTGCAGCAGGACCGGAGAAACACCCTCATCCACCAGGAAACTCACTTGCAGCAGGAAGTACAACACCGCTACATAGAGTGAAAGAATTCGATTAGTACCACAAGTGACGCCAAGCTCATGGGTTCGATCCATAGGGAAAGCAAGAACTGCAAATGCATGTCACTTTGGATAAAAACATCTGCCACATGCATAAATGTAACTGAAAATATGGAATCTGAGGGTGCAACAAAATCAAAATATTGAGAAAAATCGCCTTCAAAGTTGTCCAAATTAAGTTCTTAGCAATGCATATTACTAATCAAAAATTAAGTTTTGATATTTACGGTAGGAAATTTACAAAATATCTTCATGGAACATGATCGTTACTTAATATCTTGACTTTTGACATAAAATTGACCCATACAATGTATTTTTGGCTATTGCTACAACTATACCCGTGCTACTTATGACTGGTTTTGTTGTCCAGGGTCACAAATGTAAAAGTAGGCCACATTGTACACTTACAGTCATCCTTCATGCAGAACTTCTGCCAGTTGATCGTTCTCTGGGTGGCTATTTCAGCACATGCTTTAAGGTGCTCCATCTGTGTAAAAGGAAGAAAGTTCATGCTAATCCGAACTCAAAGAAGAGTAAAATTCATAGGGCGTTACACAAGCCTGTTTACTCACCAGACTGATGAGTGTGTCATACTGTAGAGCAGAGCCAGATGTCGCAGTCACGATTCCTTCCCTCAGGAAGATTCCCTGCTCCTCCAGAAGCTTCTTGATGCCCCGCACGTGAGAGTCAAGCGTGTGGAGATCTCGGAGTTGACGGTACTTCTCTTTGGAGCCACAGATGAACAGCAGGAGCTTCCTCACTTGTCGCCTCACAAACGGAGTCTGCTGGATCATCAGATACTGAAAGATGATTGAAGAAAGTTGATTCATGCTAAATTATTCACTGAAAACTCTTCAGCACAGGCCAAAAGTGAATTACGTGCATTACCTCTGACAGGAAATAGAACCAGGAGTGATCAAAGATTGGCGGTGGGATGCGCGGGTTGGCGTCTGCGATTTTCTTGATCTGGTATGGCAGTCGGAGAACCATCTCGGTGAGAAGCTGAGAGTACGCTTCAAACACATCAGCAGCATGGCCCTGAGAAACACCCATAATTTAAAGATCATGATTTTTCTTATGCAATACATATACACAAGAGCAAGATTTTTAAGACCCAGCCTGTACCTTGACATACTGACGCAGGAAGAAGGGGCTCATGTCTGGGGGTGAGGAGGAAGTGTGGGGTTTTAGGAGCTGACTGGTGGCCGTTGGCTCCTCCTCGCCCTGCTGAGTCTTCCAGAACTCCAGCAGGGATTTGAGCACATGCAAGCAGTAGTCTATCGCTCCCATGCTGAGCAGAGCGGTAGCTGTTGTATTGGAGATGAGAGAAGACGACTGGCGAGAAAACAGTAATGAAACTGAATTATTTAACGGTTTTCACATTCACTGCTCTGCAAACTGAACCTGGTAGAAACATGTAAACAATAGTATTAGAAATGTACACTTCCTGAAGCAAAACAGTGTTAATGTAAGCTTATGTTCAAGACAGGAAGACTAATCTAAAATTGAGTATGCAAATAGGTATAAAAAAAATTTAAAAAAAGAGGAGGAGAGCCAAATTCCAATCAAATAGTGTAGCTGCCAATAAATGTTGTCAGGGACATTTTAAATGCTGACCATTTTATCAAATGTAAATTATTGGCAGATTTCTTAAAAGTATACTTCAATAATACATTTCCTAAAAACATATAAGAAAATAAATGTAAGCCTGGACCACAAAACCAGTCTTAAGTCGCTGGGGTATATTTGTAGCAATAGCCAAAAATACATTGTATGGATCAAAATGACTGATTTTTCTTTTATGCCAAAAATCATTAGGATATTAAGTAAAGATCATGTTCCATGAAGATATTTTGTAAATTTCCTACTGTAACTATATTAAAACTTAATTTTTAATTAGTAATATGCATTGCTAAGAACTTCATTTGGACAACTTTAAAGGCGATTTTCTCAATTTTTGCACCCTCAGAGTCCAGATTTTCAAATAGTTGTAAATATTGTCCTATCCTAACAAACCATACATCAATGGAAAGCTTCAGATGATGTATAAATCTCAATTTTGAAAAATTGACACTTATGACTGGTTTTGTGGTCCAGGGTCACAAATGATAGTTACATTTTATTTCTCAAATAATTAAAAACTGTTAAATGTTAAAAAAAAGAAGTATCATTTTTTTTTAAAAGAAAGAAAGTAATGCTTTTATTCAGCAAGGATACATTAAACTAATACTAAAATTATTTGCCAATGTTCTATTAACCGGAGGTTCCTATAAAAATATTACTTCCCACAAAAATATTAAGCAGCACAACCATTTTACCATTGATAATAACAATAAGAAATGTTTCTTGAGCAGCAAATCAGCATATTAGAATGATTTCTGAAGGATTGTGTGACACTGAAAACTGGAGTAATGATGCTGAAAATTCAGCTTTGCAACCATAGGAATATATTACCCTTTAAAATATATTCAAATATGAAACTATTATTTTAAATTGTAAAATTTCACAATATTACTATTTTTACTGCGTTTTGTAATCGAATAAATGCAGCCTTTGTGAGCATAAGAGAGAAAGAAAAATCTTATCGACTCGCCTTATCTTTTGACTGGTAGTTTGGAACGAAGTTTAATCAAAAAATAATATTTAAACCTTTAGAACAAAGCCTTTTGAGCACTGTATTACCAGACTGAAGCTGAGAGTTACCTCAGAGGAGGATTTTGAGCCAGACTTGGTGCGGGACATAAAGACACTGAGGAGCCTCATGATGACCAGGTGCACCTCGTTTATGGAGCTGCGCTCATTCTTCTTTGAAACATCCTGGAAACCAAAAATGACACAATCCATATTCTGTTTCCATACAAGAAAAATGCATTAAAGGGTTAGTTCACCCAAAAATGAAAATTAGGCTGTGTTTTACTGTTTTTACTGTAGCGAATCGATGCGTTTTTGTAAGAAAAATATCCATATTCAAAACAGAATAATCACTTTAATGTAGCTTGCGCGAACAGTTGTACACAGAAGCAGTTCCGGGGGAATGACGTATGAGGTTGGTTTTGCGCATGCGCCGCTCAGAAGTGACGGCGGAAACGCAGCGGAGAGATCAAAACAAAACAACGGTCAAGAATAAGTTCTTTCTTGATGTAGTCTCACCTTCTTATGCATGCTGAGCTCGGCGATGAGCTGGGCCAGAAGGTCATCCAGTGCTCCCTTGTCTTTCTCGTCCTCTCCATCCAAATCTGTTGTCAGCATGAGGATGACCTGCATGTAGGGGATGGCCTGAACTCCACCTACAGTGTGGAGCTGGGGCAGATGCTGCAAGAGACGCTCTAAGAGCATCAAACGCACCATGTGCAACCTAGAGAAAGGAGTGAGACAGTAAATAGAGTGCATTTTATTCTAGTTTATAGTAGGAGACAAGTACTCCATCATGTAGACAGACCTGTTGCTGGTGTGGATGTCGCCCTCTGTCTCTCCTTCGCCCTCTGATCCGTCTCCTTCATGCTGGGCCGTGGTGGTGCTGATGGCTCCTGTGCTGGAGCTCACGCTGCCCGGCCCTGCAGGGTGTCCTTCAACAGTTGTGTCCCCATAAGCACTGCTGCGGCCAGACACTGAAACACACACATCATCCTGAGTTGATGAAACTTTCCAAAACAATCCACTTCAAAATTACATACATTCAAAAACATCAGACAAACAATAAAAATCCAGTCTTACCATTGTGTTCTCCTGCAACCGAGTCGATGGCGCTGCCGCCGCTCTCAGAGCCCACGCTGCCCCCGTGCTCGGCGGGAGAGGTGCGCAGCGTGGAGCCGTCTGTGGCCGCTGTGCTCCCCTCATCATCCGAGGCTGGGGCTGAAAGCATAACCAGAGCTGTTACAGGAAAAAAACAGCAGGCTTTGCTAAGGGGGGTTTCTAAAGGTGCACACAAATACATACATAGAAAAACAGCCATATGTTTGAAAATGATTGTAATTGAAAGGAATAATGGGACATGAAGGGATGACAAGAGGAATGCTGGGTGAGCATGCAGTAAGCATGACAGAAAGTAGGGGTGGACAATCTTCCCAAAATATCATCACAATTTTTTTTTACTCAATCACGATCTGAATCACAATCTTCCCAATTTTGAGATGTATTGCATTAAACAATCAGCTGTCAAAACGGTCATTAAAACCTAAGTTAAACTTAAATCACTGCATAGTCTTCACTATATGAATTAAACTGATTCTTATTAAAGCTACGAAAATTATTCAATAAAGAGCAGTGAATGATTTTCTCTCTTTTGTTTGATTAACATTAATGACAGAGACAGCAGCAGGTATTTCAGTAGACTGAATGCACAGATCTAATATACTGACGCATTTCTTTCCCAACCGTTTATGTTCACTTGCGACATAACTGACTGACTTCATGTAAATACTTGAGATGGACATTGAGATATTTTTTGTGTATATTTGACCGTTTAAGGCATGCACCTGAAACCTCAAATATACTTTGCTTGTTCATGTTCCGCTCCATTTGAAATCAAAACAGAACGAAAAATTTGATTTGTCACACAGCTCTGCAGCTAGCTCACGCTGAAATGTTTTTCAATTTAAGACACATGATACAGACATATGGTATAAATTGGCCAGCCAGCACAGCCATCTAGCAGGCAGTCATTGCTGTAGTTTTATTATTTGCGGCCAGACACTGAAACACACACATCATCCTGAGTTGATGAAACTTTCCAAAACAATCCACTTCAAAATTACATACATTCAAAAACATCAGACAAACAATAAAAATCCAGTCTTACCATTGTGTTCTCCTGCAACCGAGTCGATGGCGCTGCCGCCGCTCTCAGAGCCCACGCTGCCCCCGTGCTCGGCGGGAGAGGTGCGCAGCGTGGAGCCGTCTGTGGCCGCTGTGCTCCCCTCATCATCCGAGGCTGGGGCTGAAAGCATAACCAGAGCTGTTACAGGAAAAAAACAGCAGGCTTTGCTAAGGGGGGTTTCTAAAGGTGCACACAAATACATACATAGAAAAACAGCCATATGTTTGAAAATGATTGTAATTGAAAGGAATAATGGGACATGAAGGGATGACAAGAGGAATGCTGGGTGAGCATGCAGTAAGCATGACAGAAAGTAGGGGTGGACAATCTTCCCAAAATATCATCACAATTTTTTTTTACTCAATCACGATCTGAATCACAATCTTCCCAATTTTGAGATGTATTGCATTAAACAATCAGCTGTCAAAACGGTCATTAAAACCTAAGTTAAACTTAAATCACTGCATAGTCTTCACTATATGAATTAAACTGATTCTTATTAAAGCTACGAAAATTATTCAATAAAGAGCAGTGAATGATTTTCTCTCTTTTGTTTGATTAACATTAATGACAGAGACAGCAGCAGGTATTTCAGTAGACTGAATGCACAGATCTAATATACTGACGCATTTCTTTCCCAACCGTTTATGTTCACTTGCGACATAACTGACTGACTTCATGTAAATACTTGAGATGGACATTGAGATATTTTTTGTGTATATTTGACCGTTTAAGGCATGCACCTGAAACCTCAAATATACTTTGCTTGTTCATGTTCCGCTCCATTTGAAATCAAAACAGAACGAAAAATTTGATTTGTCACACAGCTCTGCAGCTAGCTCACGCTGAAATGTTTTTCAATTTAAGACACATGATACAGACATATGGTATAAATTGGCCAGCCAGCACAGCCATCTAGCAGGCAGTCATTGCTGTAGTTTTATTATTATATTATTACAAGGGCATAAAAGACCACAATATAAAATTGTCAGATTGTCCACCCTGACTGAAAGAATGTCTTGTGGAGAGATGGGTGCAGTTACCTGATGCAGTGGTGTCTGAAAGGGTTCCTGCGTCCAGGGATGAGGAGCTTGGGGCCTGACCAGATAGGCCCAGACTCTGTAGGCCCAAAGCACTGCTGCTGCTGCCTACAGAGATAACATACACTCCACATTAGACAAGGAATGACCATATGCACTACCGGTCAAAAGTTTGGAACAATTACGATTTTTTATGTGTTTTTTTTTTGTTTTTTTTAAGTCTCTAATGTTCAACAAGACTGCATTTATTTGCTGAATACAGTAAAACAGTAATATTGTAAAATATGATTACAAAGAACAGTTCCCATTTTAATATGTTTTAAAATGTATTTTTTCCTGTGATGGCAAAACTGTAACGACTGCAGAAAACTCAGTTTTGCCATCACAGGAATAAATTAATTTTTTTAATATATTATAAATATACAATAATATAATAATTAAATATATTATAGATATATAATAATATTTCACAATATCACTGTTTTTGATCAAATAAATGCAGCTTTGGTGTGCATAAGACACTTAAAAAAAACAAAAAAACATACAAAATGTACTAATTCCAAACATTTGACCAGTAGCGTCCATTTCATGAGAGGACAGAAAAGTGTAAACAGTGACCTTGCTGGTCTTGTTGCAGACTGAGAGCTATAGCCAGCTCCACCATGGTCTCATCATCAGCATCTGGAGGGATGTCCAGCATGGGTGGGAAGCCCTCCGCCCCTGCTAGCAGAGCTTCAAGAGGAGAGGGGTTTCCATTGTTCACATTCTCAGCCGTCTCCAGGACCATAGACTCAGACTGCAGATCAAACACAGAGAGGAGAGGATTACATAACAACCGCCTTCTTTACCGTGGGTGATACCGGTGGTCATATAGCCTATTCCTACATTACTTGAAGCTCCTTGATGGCTAATGTCAAAATCGTAATTGCACAATGTGCAAAATGCTAGACTTTATGTTAAATATTTTTCATAGGTTAGTACTCAGAGTCTGCACTCAGTTTGTGATATTCCTGTTTTACAGTATTTTAGAGTAGGAATGCAACAATACAGTTAGCCCAAGGTTCAATAAATACCTCAGTTTTTTAAACACAGTTTTCAGTTTGATTCTGATGGTTTGGCACAACAGTTCTTTTTAGAGATTTTAAATGCCATTAAAAAAAAAAAAACTCCAGTACATTGTTGTACACTGTAGAAAAACATGGATTATCACACGCAAAATGCGAACAGGTTGGCAGGTCTGCAGTAGTTTGGACAAAGACTTACTTTAAAGTCTTTGAAAGTACTTTACTTTAAAGTACGATTTCCATACCTACAATCTATTTTTCTCCTATAGATTATAGGTATGGAAAAATCACAAGCAAATGAAAATGTCAATCAAAACAAATGAAAACCATCTGAACCCCCACACCCAGCAAAAAGCAGTGCTGTAATCTTGCATTAAAACTATTAAAAATAGTTTCTGTTAACTGAAATAAAATATAAAATAAATAAACATAAAATGAAAAACTGAACTAAAAAGTACTAAATTGTAATAAGAACTAGAAGTACTAAAATTACTAAAACTGAAATAAAAATAAATGAAAGAAATTAAAAAATGAAATAAAATATTAAAAAAAAACTGTAAAAAAACAAAATAGAATTTAAATAATATAATTTTTTTTATTCAATTAATAATTTAAAGAAGCCAATTCAAAATATTAATAATTACTGTTATACTAAAATAACAAACTACCTCCATCTCAAATATTTCATTACAGTGTTCAAAACAGATGTTTTGGAAACTTTTTGGGGGGCATTTAAAAGCATGAATTAGACTTTAGTGTTCTCCGTTTACTTGATGAATCAATTTGGGCAAAGTTAGTTGATTGTTGTTGTTTTCTTCCTGATTAATTGTGCACATTCTGGAATATGAAAAAACTTTAACGCACCTTGACTTGTGATGATTATTTGTTCATTACGTGGTATATTATTATATAATTATATGACCTTGCATAATTTAAAGATGATCATTATTATTGCCCAATAACTTTCCTTACAATTTTTTTTTTTATTATTGATTCAGTACATGTTAGTTTGCTTACATACATACATATCACAGTCTAATCATTGTAATATTAACACTTCTAAGTGTCCAACAGCTGGACTCATAGTGGTTGCCAAACTCACCACCATCTCAAAGTCTCCGTGGTCCACCTCGCTTTGTTCTTGACTCTCCTGCCTGCCGCTTTCCCCTCCCGTCATGTTGGAGGGCTGCATCTTCTCATCAGCATCATCATCATCGTCGTCATCTTTATCTCCTAGGACATGAAAGCACAGCAACGCATTATTTTTGGGGCTGATTCATTGTGAGGTGTTTGTATGATTCACAAGTCACAAAGCTGAAAGGCACAGCTCATACCCATGGGCGTGTTGGACCGTGGAGGAGAAGGCAAGGTCACATGCCTGCGTTTGTTTCTGGGTCTCAAAACTCTAATCAGAGCCTGTTTGCAAGCAAAGCTCACAGAGATGTCCTGTAGATGAGAAAGATGTAAGAATTGCAATATTAATTGTTCTCAATGTATGGATTATGGAGAAGAACGGCAATAGAACACGTACAGGGCAGAGCAGCATCTGCATGTAGATTTTAGATGCCACATTGATGTAATCCAGCTCACAGGTGCAGTAACCGTGGATGATATCAACCAGTGCATTGACTGTGGCTTCAATGTGAGTTAGACCTAAATGAAAAACGTAAAAATGTGTCAGATTCCTAAAACAATAAATCAATGAACTCCTAGTGTGTCTCAAATCAATAAATACCACTGTGTGACTATGTACCTGGCAAACAGGCGGGAGCCAAAAAAGCATTCTTAGGTTTGAGAGCATGAAGCTTCCAGAAGTTAGTGACCAGCTGCATGATGAAGCTACAGTTCTCGGTATCAGCTTGTTTCAGTCCATCCTTCCCATCATCACCTACATCTGAAGAGAAGAAACACTGACTTTATGAAAAGGCACATAAAAGGACAACAAGATGAACGTCTACGAGGTTCAATGGGTGTACCAGTGTCTGACTGAGGAAGTCTGGACTCGGTGAAGTGCACAAGATTGTTGGGTCTCATGATGGCGATGGAGCGGGCTGTGATCACCAGTCTCTGGAACACATCAGGGTCCAGCTCCTTTCCTTCTTTACTGCAGCTGTTCAGACACAGTACTGCGTTGCTAAGCAGAGACTGATCCTAAACACAGATTAAGCACCAGTTAGAAAGCAGAGCTTAACGATATGGTGATTCATGTCTAACACAGGATAAAGTTCTGATCAGCAGCGATCATGTTTGTACCTTGTGGTTGTGGTAGGCTGTGCGGCTGGTGTGCAGGCTAGCCAGAAGGCCTTTGGTCTGCTGCTGTACTCCAGCAGGAGTGGGGATGGACAGGAGGAGAGTGGCCAACTCTAGAGCAGCAGCTTTATTTTTCTCCTATAGATTGTAGGTATGGAAAAATCACAAGCAAATGAAAATGTCAATCAAAACAAATGAAAACCATCTGAACCCCCACACCCAGCAAAAAGTAGTGCTGTAATCTTGCATTAAAACTATTAAAAATAGTTTCTGTTAACTGAAATAAAATATAAAATAAACATAAAATGAAAAACTGAACTAAAAAGTACTAAATTGTAATAAGAACTAGAAGTACTAAAATTACTAAAACTGAAATAAAAATAAATGAAAGAAATTAAAAAATGAAATAAAATATTATTTAAAAACTGTAAAAAAACAAAATAGAATTTAAAATAATATAAAAAATTTTATTCAATTAATAATTTAAAGAAGCCAATTCAAAATATTAATAATTACTGTTATACTAAAATAACAGTGGCTTTAAAGGGGTCATATGACGTTGCTAAAAAGAACACTTTTTGTGTATTTGGTGTAACGAAATGTTTAACGTGGTTTAAGGTAAAAAAAACAAAACAAAAAAACAACAACATTATTTTCCAAATACAGTGCTCCTCTCTGCCCCGCCTTTCTAAAACGCGTAGATTTTTACAAAGCTCATCGTTCTGAAAAGCTGATTGGCCAGCTATCCAGTGCGTTGTCATTGGCCGAATACCTCAAGCGTGTGAAATGTTACGCCCCTTACCATATTACTGTATACATTTGGGCGATGTTATGCAAATCTTCCCACACAGTGACGTAGATTTGTGGGGGCGTGTTTGAATGAGGTGTTTTAGGAGGGCGTGGATGAGTCTTAACTTTTAGAAAGAATATCTCTTTGGGTTTGAGACTTTAATCTTTTCGAAAGGAAAACATGAAATCGCGCCATATGACCCCTTTAAGTTACCACAAAACCAATATTTCAAAGGTGCCATAGAATGCATTGATACAATATTTTAAATTGTTCTCTGATATCTACATTGAAGGTATTTAGTGACTCGCGTTATTTTATTAGAACGTTATTTGTTTTCCGTGCCTTTCTGAATACAGACGCCAACCCATCCCTGCACAGCCTGGAACATAACATTTATTTCCATGATGCACAAGATTTACATAAGTAGGAGGAAACAATGGTGTTTGAGGCTCATGGTACGTTATTTCCATGTACAGAACTGTTATTATTCAACTATGCCAAGGTAAATACGGTTTTCCATTCTATGGCACCTTTCAATATGATTTTTGAAACCAAAATGTTACATCACAACAAAAATTTAACAGACACTGAATTATTTACAATGCATCTACATGAATACTAAAGGTATAATTTTTTATAATGTTGCACAGGCCAATATAATTGTCATCTTTGGAATTATACTGACACCTAGTTGTGTGGATGTAGATTGCTGGAAAGTTTTCAGTTACTGATGCCACATTAAAAAAGCTATTTAGAGTCAACCATGACTAATTTGTCCAATAACAGCGACGTTATGGAGATAAAGTGAGTAGTATATCAGCTGGCCATGTGATCTCAGCATGGAAAAACAGCTTTTATGAAGTAAATGAAATGGATTCTTCATCTTATGTGAGCGTACATCATTTTAAACATGTATTCTAACTTTGGATCACCTGGTACTGGTACTTTTGATATCCCTAATCACAAAGAGAACAAGATTTCCTCACCTTTTCATTGGGGGAACCCACAGCAAAGCAGCTCTCTAGAGCTTCCAGTGAGCTGACCACCAACCTAGAGATCAGACAACAGTTAGATAGGGAAAACGATGCATAATATTAAAATGATAGCAGTCCACACCAACATAATCCAATTCTACATCACTCTCAAAGCATTGCCATATTCAAACCATAACACACTATCAAACGTTAAAAGCATTAAAGTAAAACACCTATTACTAATTGTAAATATTACTAATACACTTTTACTAATGTCTTTATAAATGCTGTAATTGTCCTGCATGATCTACACCAGAGCAAGCTCAGTCTGACTGCTGTCTCTCACACACACACACACACGAGCAAACCACCATGCACACAAGCAGAGAAAGGGCGGTTACTAACCGGTCCAAGGCTGATAAGGACTCAGTTTCACAACTTTTTTTAATTTTTTTTGGGAGCAAAGAAAAAGAAAAATGTGTGAGGATCACAGAAAAGAAATGCGTAAAAATGATTTGTATGTCAAACACAGGAAACGTAAGCATGCGAGCACGAGGTCATTATGATGGCAGCCATATGCACTGGACACGTCACGCACACCCCCTCCCCCACTCCCTTCTCTCTCCCCTGCTCTTCGTTTCAGTTACGTCAATTGACATCAATTACAGGCACTCTTGAGACAATAATACAGATTAAATGCAGTGAATTAAGTGAAATGAAGACAGAGAAGACATTTTCTCTACAGGAAATCATATTAATTAATAGGTTGAAATCAGAGCACCCAGACTTAGGAGAAAAGTATACCTCTCCAGTACAGTGCCGCTTGTTGTGATGGGGCTGGTGATGTCACTGTCTCCGGTGCCATTACCCTGGTTTAGGTTGGGGCTGCACACGTTGTTGACTGCAGCTGAGGGGAAGTCCTCTGGGGGCTCATCTGGCCAGCCGAACTGCTCTTTGGTTTTGCCATAAATCTTAATGGAGTCCAGCATGGTGACACCTGCTGGGTCGACTGAAGCACCAACTGAAACAAAAAACATCAGAATTATTAATTATAATCACCACTAATGTTAAAAGCTTAAATGCATGGAATTCAATTTTAAAAACAAAAGTTATGATTAAAAATTGCAATCGGTCATTTATATAAATTACATATATAAATATATTAAAAGTGTCAATTTTTTTTTTTAATTATGGCACACACTTATCATTTTATTTACTTACTTTTATTTCACAATATAATATTCAGATTAAAAAAAAAAAATCATGTAATTTAATTTTTTAATCAAATCTAATTTAATCTAATAATATAATTATTTTTCTTTTCTTTTTGTTTTGTCTGATGGGCTCTTACTGAAAATGGAGAGCTTCTTGTCTGCCTGAAGGGCTTCCTCGCGAGTGAAAGGGAAGTCAAACCAGCGGGAACGTGTCAGGTTGAGCTGCATGGTGCGCCCAAAGATTTCAATGTAAGAGGGAGCTCGCTCAATGGCCTGAGTGCCCACCTGCACCCTCATTCCCGTCATCACCATTGAGTTGTTATTGTTCACTACTTCCACTGTGAAACCTCCAGGCTGTTGACAGGAACCAACATAAATTACTCAAAGTGAGAATGTCTTAGCGACCTATTAATGATAATTTCTAAATGATACTGTAGCTGGAATCCCGTTTGTTACCTTGGTGTTAGCCACATACATCCCTGTAGAATTTAGACGGTGTTTGATCTGTTGGCCGTTGTAGACCTGCAGCAAGTCATTGCCTCCAAACTCCACCTCTGTCAGCTGCTGATTGTGCTCGAAGAAGTCCACAGGGAAAGTAACTTGGCTGGATGTGCGTGTGGCTGATGAGGAAAAACACAAAATGCAACATAAATCTCTCTAAACAACACTAAACAATGTCATTAGTCAGAGCAAATGTGGCGTGACTCACTGGCAGTGGCTGTCTTGCGTTTGCGGACGGGTTTCATGATGCTGATCACACTGCTAGGCTGAAGGGAGGGCTGGAGCCAATAGGATGTGTTCTCCACGTTGGCCATGTATATACGGAGACTGCCATCTTCACACAGCAGTATCATGGTGGTGCGCTGCTGCTCGTTGCTTGCTGTGTGACGGATTGCAACCATGTCCTGAATCTTAGGGGTAGAGAGAGAATTGTTTATTTGTGTTTGCACCCTATTAGGATTTATTGTACACAAAATTTTGCCCATTCCAGCCTCTGGTACCCTGGTATTGGTACTAAATTTGGTTGGGTGATTTTAATGCCAAGCAGGCTTCTTTGGGTATTTTCATGTTGTGTAATTCAGGGTTTACGTAGACATTTCTTTGAAAGTGTTTGCTGAGTAACAATTTCCTAAGAGAACTTTAGCCATGTTTAATAGATATTGGACTCTGGTATGAGGAGCACAGCAGTGGATATTCATTAACTTGTGTGTGATACTGGAATGTTCTATTCGGTATGTCCTATTTGGGACTCGGGTGACTACGGAAACTAGGAATGCAATTTTAATATAGACTGATAATAATAATCAGGGTTCCCACTCTTTCATGAACACCAGATTCAAGGACTTTCAAGGACTTTTTAAAGCACCATTTATTTTATATCAAGCACCTATCAAATTTCACACCCCAGCATATGTAGTGTCATTGAAAGACCTTACAGTACTTAACATTTCACTTACACTTAACATTTACATTAAACATTTCAGAGTAATAATGTTTTGAATGTGTAGGTTGCATAAATTTAGACCGTTTTGAGCAGTTGTGTTCAAAGGAATTTAATGAAATCCATTGAAGTCGGTACTGGTGATAAATAAAATTCAATTTCTAAAATATTGATAAAATATGCATCAAACTGATTTTTGCTGTAGTTCTTGTACAAGATCTAAATTCGAAATAATTTCTAAATTTTTAAATTAATAAAAAGTGGTTAAACAGGGCTCTACGCGTACTTTTCTTTTAAAATTTAAAAAAATGTAGGAGCACAGTCAAATATTTCAGGAGCACCTTCTAATCAATAATAATCAAAAATTCTGATAAAATATTAGCCTTCCCATTACGAGATGATATTTGACTCAAAGTGATTTACAGGGAATTTTGTTTTTACCTTTGTAATGG